TATTGGAGAACGCAGATCTACTCTAAAGAAGTAATTTACCAGAATACTTGTTTCAATCTGTTTAAGCTAATTATTTTTTCATAGCTTCCTAGCATATAGGGCTCATATTTGAGTAATACTCACACTTACTTGGGTTGTATTAAGATCACATAGATTCTCACTGGAGATTCATCATTAACATTCATTTTAGTAACTCAGACCTAGAAAAGAAGGGGAAAACAGAAGTATTCAGAAATAGATCCAAATATAATATGAAATAAAAAATGCCAAGAGAAAAGTGCAAACTCCCAACCTTTAAGTACTGTAAAAAAAAAATCTAAGAAACATAATACTTACTAAAATCTAAAATACTTCCAAAGACTGTTGGAGAACACGTGGATAACTTGCCCTGACGAGCTAATCCGATTTGCTTTCCAATCCTCGTTCAGGAAGGCCTTTCAAATGAGAAAAGTGTATTAAGGTGGATCTGTGGGAATATGAAGAATGTTGGTAATGTTAATTGAAAGAGACAATGTCTGGATCTTTGCAAAACCCTCTTTAAATTACATTTATTTTGTGTGGGTGTGCTGGTTTGAATAAGAAGGGCCCCCCATAGGGTCATACATTTGAATGCTGTTCACCAGGGAGTGGCACTATCTGAAAGGACCGAGTGTGTGTGGCCTTGTTGGAGGAACTGTGTCACTGCCCACTGCCGGTAGGCTCTGAAGTTTCAAAAGCCCACACTAGGCAAGTGATTCTCTCTCCCTGCTGCTTTTGGATCCAGACAAAGAGCTCTCAACTACCATGACTGCCTGCATGTTGCCATGCATGGACTGAACCTCTGAAACTTTAAGCAAGTCCCAATTAAATGCTTTCTTTCATAAGAGTTCCCACGGTCATGGTGTCTCTTCACAGTAATAGAACACTAAGACAGTGGGTGAATGAGCATGTGCCATGGTATGCATGTGAAGTTCAGAGGGTAACTCCTCCTCCAGTTGTGGGTTCTGAGCATAGGACTTCAGATTGGCAGGCTTGGTGGCAATCACTTTTACATGCTGAACCATCTTCTCGGTCTTCAAAACACCTTTGTTCGTTGCCTGGGGTTTCTATAATTTTTAGTTTTCTTGAAAGAAACAAAGATTTCTTTTAAGTTCTTGTTTCTTGAAGATGCCCAGAGGAAGGCTACTAAAGTAAAACATGTCACTAAAATATAATTAGCTGAGTAGGAGAAAAAGAGGCATCCACAGTCAAACTATAATTACAGAAACTGTGGCTTTTCACTCCACGTCAGCTTCCTGACCCCCATGGTTAATAGTCTCCTTATATCCACGATAAAGGCCCAAGGTATGCTTAGGAATAACAAGCTTTTGTAGGGGCAAGGCTCTATTGCTTTCAATTCGTGGCAAAAGCTGGATTTACTCCTGCAGAGCCCTCCAAGCTCTGTGGTTCTTTGGTAACACCACCTGTTTTGCTGAACAGTGGCTCATAGAACAAAATGCTTGAACAATTTGGCCCTAGGATGTATTTTAAGAACACTCCTGCCTGGCAATAACATGTAATAGCTACCGTTTAACAATTCACCAGACAAAAATGGATACTGGGTTATTGCCAGCTACAATTTCTGGACCTTAAAGCTTTAGATAATTAATATGAAAAGAAAAGAAAGTGAATGCCACTTACTTTGAATCTGATGAGTTATAGCAGGTCACATACTAGGACCCATGACATTCCAGAAGTCACATAATGTGAAGAGAAGCCTGCTACAGCTCCAACCATTAACTATGACTCTAGTATGCATGCGTTCATGCATATAAGGGAACTTGAGATGATGGATGTAGCAGCTGTGCACACTAGCTAAAATAATTTAGTTGATTAGTAAACTCAGACCTACATTGGATATTTCAAAATAAAAACGAGTCACTCAGGAAAAAATTATTTTTAAAGTCACTTTGAAATCTGCTTTTGAGTAGATAGTATTTTGTAACTAAAAGGATTTTTGGAGCAACTTGATATGAAAATTCAATTTTTTTTTATAGATTTGTTAGAATTTTTAAATATAAATTACTGAATGCCTCATTTTCTTATATAAACACCAGATGTTTTTCTTAAATTGATATAAGAGAAACATACAAAGCCTATCATGTGCTTTGTCAATACATGGATACAATTGCATAATGTTAGAAATATGGTATTGACAGCTCTGGAAATATCTGACATTCGTGTTGAAAACATTAAAGATCCTTTCTTCTTGTCTCTAAAGAACGCATAGCACATCATCAGTAGCAGTAGTTGCCTGATTGTGATATGCAGCCAGGACTACTTCTTCCTGTCTTAACGATAGCTTAGTGCCTGTTGGTCAACCTGTAGCCATCCTTTCCTTCCCTCTAATCTTTCTAGCCTCTGACAACTAGTCTCTCAACTTCTCTGAAACCATTGGTCTAGGGTTCCACATGAGATCATGTGGTACTTTTCTTTCTTTGCATGCCCTACTTCACTCCAACTCAATGACCTTCAGTTTTATGCAAGTCCCTAAGGACAGGACTTAACAGAGAGTCTTTTTAAAGGATGACTAGTATCTGTTGAACCCTAGGTAGCTGGAGATATTTTGCTCAAATATTGGTTTGTTATAAAGGTATAAATAACGGGATTCTTTTATTGTATTTATTTGGAATTTTTCAGACTTGTTAGCAGTAGGTGATCTGAGTTCTAGGATTAATTCATTACACTGCTTTAAGAAAGTGCAGGTGTGGTGCTTTGAATGAACATGGCTCCCATAGGCTCACAGGCACTGCCAGGAGGTGTGGCCTTGTGGTTTCAAATACTCAAGCCAGGCCCTGTCTCTCTTCCTGCTGCCTGCTGATCCAGATGTAAACCTCTCAGCTTTTTCTCTAGTACCACGCCTGCTTGCATGCTGCCATGCTTCCTGCCATGCCAAAAATGGAGGATCCTTCTATGTGTAAACTAGAGGCATTTTCCACGGACTGGAGTTGTTGTCCAAGACTAAGGGCCTAAGCACAGAAGAGCTGATGTTTGAGAGTGGGAGAATATGGAGTTTTGGTTTTTTATTGTTCATGCCATGCCAAGATCAGATGATGCCCATCATACTGGGAAGATCAGTGATTCAGTTGATATCACGGCTAACCTTTTCCAGAATGACTCTCATAGACCTACCTAGAAGTTATAGTTTAAGTTGGCATCAAACATTAACTATCATTACAGCTAATTCAAATGAACAGAGTATGAACAGACTCTGCTTAGAAACAGACCTATCTTAAAGGCCACTGCTAAGAGTTTTCACTCACAGTTAGGTTAAAGGAGTATTATGGATTTTGAAACTGTAATCATTCCCCTAGCCCTTAGTTAAGTGACATAGAAAGGAAAGATCTCCAATAGAAAGTGATCTCTGAGCTGGCATTCAATCTCTCATGAGTTTTTCATCCCATCACTCTGACACATCTATCCAAGGCCTGTTCAGAAACTGTTCTTGTCATTCAGGAAGAGCGAGCTGGGGCTGTATTGCTCGGCTCAGCTAGGGCTGGGCTTGGGAGCCTGGTCTTCTTTCAAGGCTGTCTGTAGCTCTTACAGACACCCTGTGGGGCCAGCCTGCTCCTTTTTCGGGCCTTACCCTGCCTTCCTTTGCCCTTGAGTGTTTTTGTCATCCTCATTTCCTTTTACTTTCCAGCTTCCGTGTGGCTGCTCAAGTGTCCAGTGTTTACCTGTAGTTGTATGTCTAAGTTATCTGGCTTAATTTTCCTTTCTGAAAAGTCCAAGTCTTGGCAAAATCTCATCAAGAGACAGAATTCCTTTATTTGACTTTTTTTCTAATCAAAACAATTGTGCCAGGACTTATCTGCTTAAATGTGAAAACTCTCTTTCCCTGACTATTAAGATTTGTGTTATACAAACAGGAACTGTGAGTACAAGGTAGAATGCTCACTGTAGTACTGCAGGACCAAATTGATTCCCACAACACCATGTTTAACACTTCTGTGATGTCTAGGAAGAGAGTTTGGTTCGTAGTACTAATTAATTTTATTAACTTGGAGCTGAAAGGAGGTGTCAGCTGAAATAAGGACTTAAATAAAGTACAGTAGACCTCGCCAGACTAGTTCCATTCAGCTGCCTTTTACCTGAAAGTTAGAGCACTTACTCATCACAAGTAATAAAGCAAACGAGATGCTTAGACCAGAGCATGCTTCCGCTGCATCCACAGAATACATGCAAGACAAGTAAGACATATTTCTTTTAGCGCAAGCAACAAGTTTATTTTTTATTTATTTGATGAGGAATTAGCAAAGGAACAATGCCAAATGAGGTACAATTGAAACATTTGCATAGAAACTTTCCTTGAAACACTCAGATTGTTGTTATAATTCCTGATTGTCAGCTTAAAAAAAAAATTGAAATCCTAAGTTCCTTCAAAAGTATACACATTTATTTTGTGGAAAATCTCTGAAATGGTGACTTCATTCCAGAGCCATAATTACTGAGGGTAAAAGTGTTCTCTTGGCTAGGACCAAGGCAGTATGGTGATACTATGTACATTCCTATTTTATACTCCTACTTTGCAAAATGTACGTGTGTTTTGCAAGGAAAGTGCATATATTTCCACTGCTTGGTTTTTGGACGTGTGCTCAGATGCCTTTCAGTGTCAAGTTGATGTGAATCAACACTGGCGATAATGAGTGTCCTGGTCATTATGGCTCTGACACACAGTTGTATGTTTTTGATACTATGCTGGAAACAGTTGAGTCTATTCATACAGCAGATATGGAATACACATGGACAGACAGCAAGTCTTCACCCTAATCATCTTTCATTAATATTGAAGTGGTAAAAATTACTTAGAAAGACACCTTTTTTTCTTTTTTACAACACACACTTGAACACATGGCTGTCTCCTTGCTTTCTACAGCAACATGTATAATTTAATCAGCAAATATAGAATAGATAGATGATGCCAGGAGACAAAACAAAGCAAAAAAAAAAAAAAAAAAAAAAAAAAAAACATTAAAGCCCATTACAATCTTGAGTACAACTTCAAGTACATAGGAAAAGCAATGCAAGCATGTATTTAGCCTTATTTTTTCTAATATATGTCATAATTTTAAACTATATAAAGTCACTTACATAAAAGCAACTTTTCAAGTGTAATAACTGAAAGCATGGCTTTGTGTTTGGCTTAATCATTTTTTTTTTTTAACCAGTTTAATTTATAAAGCTCGTAATCTTGCCAGCAGGGCTTCAACTTCAGGAACTGATTCGCTTTTAGAAACGGAGCCAAGAAGTTCCATTTCCTTTTTTCTGTTGCTTTCTGCATTGCAGGCTTCCTTCTCAGCTGCCTTGATCCTCCCTGTAGACGTCTGAGTGTCTAGATTATAATTAAGCTCCTTGGCGACTGGAGTCCTGGTGGAGTTGCAGTTGATACTGTGGTGTGGACGTGACCCTTCTGTCAACTGCACTTTCTGATTTTCTACAGTAAGGAAAAAAGAAACATGAAACTTGTCAGTGTGAAAACCATGGTGCAGGCATGTTATACAACACAGATTTAATTATTCTCGATATGTAAGTCCTCTTGGCTACACTAAAAATAGCCAGTAGAAAGGTAGATACAAAGTAAACATGTAGGGGTTAAGAATCAATTAAATTACAGAAGAAAATGGCTCATTCCCTGCTTTTATGCTGAAACACCTGTTAGGAGGCCTTCATTAGAGTTTTACCCCGTGCTCACACAGGACTTGGGTCACACAGCACTGAAAGGGAGAGGCCTTCTCTAACCATTTGAGATGGAACCATTATGTTATGGGTCCATTATGTTCCCCATCACTGTTTCTTCCCCTCATCTTTTCCCTCATAGCATCGCGGCAAGCACATATACCATATGTTTGTTTTCTTGTCCACTGGGTGTCTTTCCACTAGAATGTGTGCCCCACAGAGCAGGAGCTTTATTGTAAACGCTGTGAGGTTTCAGTACCTCTAATTGCCCTGGGTAAACTAAGTGTCCAATAAACATACTGGGTAAATAGTCTATACAGATAGTGATCCAAGCAGAAGAATTAGGCTAAGATGTTCTTTGTGAACAAAAGTAAAGAAGACTCTCTTAAGAAGTTTAAAAGTTAAAAAAAAACAGGACTTAAAAATTATGAAGGTATCAGGCAAGTAATATTTCCTACCAAGCCATAACTACATAATTACGTCATGATGAAAATGAGTAGTATGTCCGCATCTACATATACATACGTGCACACATACACACATACTGCCAAGTAACTGTGACCTTGACTCCATCACGGGCTGTGAGTAAATGGTGCTGGCTGATATATTCTCTCAAAGAGACCTAAAATTTCTTCTAATTAACGGATTCTCGCACTGTGCAACCTTTCAAGTGACTCTCTCATAGACCTCCATCTTTTAAAAAAGCAGATAGCCTTAATATTCATGTAACCTTGAACAGGGTTTGAAAATGGCTCCAACAAACTTGACATGACATTTAAAGTTTTTTGGTTATTCGCTGAGAGATGTTCCATTATCCCAATAGTAATGACTTTGGAGCACAAGCAGTCACTCATGACAGTGTGTTTTATGTGAGCGCTGAAAATTCCAACCGAAAACAGCTTGTACATTAAAAGGTGGCTGCTGAAGATATTTACTACACTGTCATTTCCTGACCAGGGGCTTCCCGTGATGGATGAGCATTTTACACAGTTTCTTGGACCATCTCTACAAATTTTAGAAGTATGATCAGCTTTTAGCTGTTGGAAGAAAATAAATACACTTTTCTTATCACTTTCTCTATCAGTTGGACAATTGTTACTCAAAAATCAAAATCTAACAGAGCAGTGATTTTTTTTAGAGGAGTTTCTGTGCTGCAGCTCATTGCACGCACCCTGTGCCTGCAGCACAGAACACACAGGCGTGGCGGTCCTGCAGCTCCCAGGGCCACATAAATTAATTTTTTCTTGTACCCATCATCTTCCCCCAAAAGGCGTATGGGAAGCGCATTTGTAGCCAAGTGCTTGATTTTCAGTCAGCATACTACCCATTCCCGAATCTTTCCATTACTCCTGGTCACTTGATGTCTTGTATATTACTCCATCCTGATACAGCTACCAAACAAGGTTATTTTGCTACTGGGCAACTCTAGTTAAAATCTTGGATTACTGAAAAGAGATTACATTGGCAAGAATATGAATCTCGAATACAAGAATACAATACATAAACTCTCAGAGCTTCTACAGCTATATACAATCAAGACCAATTCTGTATGTGGGGAAGTAAAAAGAAAAAAAATAACATAGGATTTTAGGTAGATGTCTTATGAAATCTGAATTTTAATCAATTCCCTTGAGTCTCAGATTCTAATAATAAACCCCAAAGAGTATCTGTGGGGATAAAAGGACGTGATCTGGGCGGCTCCTATATGCTGATGCTTACTGTCCTAGTTAGGGTTTCTATTGCTGTGATGAAACACCATGACCAAAACAATTTGGGGAGGAAATGGCTTATTTGTCTTACACTTCTACATTACTGTTCATCACTGAAGGAAGCCAGGATAGGAATGCAAGCTAGGCAGAAAACTGGAGGTAGGAGCTGATGCTGAGGCTCTATGGAGGAGTGCTGCTTACTGGCTTGCTCAGTCTTCTTTTAGCCCAGGGATGTCCCCACCCACAGTGGGCTGGGGAAATTAATCACTAATTAAGAAGCCCTATAGTCAGAGCCTATGGAAGCATTTTCTCAGTTGAGGCTCCCTCTTTTTACATGACTCTAGCCTGAGTCAGGTTGACATAATACTAGCCAGCACCCTTACCTTTCCTTCCTCAAAACCTACAGGAGCCACTCATCTGTTACCAGAGCTTCGGGTTTACTCTGATCAGGCTCTGATCTGGCTTGTCAGTGCTTGGCAGAGAGGGATGCAATGCTACCTTATGACCACCCTGAATTTATTAAGCAGCACATTAAATTATGAAGAATTTGTTACACCTTAAATATCACTACCCTGTACAGACTAAGGAGAAAAAGCAAAAAGGTTTGGCCATGTGCTTAGATTAGTTACTGAGTGAGTCAGTGGCAGAAGCCAGATGCTGTCTCAGGAGATATTGGAACTGTTTTAGAAAAAGCTGAAAACCTTTTTGCCAAAGAAGAGTGCTAAGTAATTCAAAGTTGAGTTTCAAAATAATGATATCTTGAATCCTTACAATAACTTTGTAAAGCAGAACGGGACGGACAGAAACTACCTTAGCACAATTACATTCAAGGTCACATGATCCCCTTCTGTCCTGGTCTCAGTTAAATTGATGACTGAATTTTAAGCATGACCTCAATCCCCGTGAACTTCTAATCCATTCACACTTTCATTTCCCTAGATGACCCTTTCGTCTCATTCCAGACCTCCAGCATGTCTAGCCACTCTCATTTGGCCCATCTATATAAATAAAGCATAACGTAACCCCCCAGGAAACTCCTTAACATCTACTATCTAGCTACACCTTCCTTCCTGTTAGGACGGAACATCCTGCCACCTGAGAACCCCCTCTAGAGTCTCTCTCCTGCTCTTCTATTGTCAACTATCCCTTCTCTCACTGCACTGTTCCCACAGCACTGTCAAGGTTTAGCCTTCCCTGTGTTCACTCCCATGCTGCCTAGTTTTATGTCAACTTGACATAAGCAAGAGTCATTTGAAAGGAGAGAAACTCAATCGAAAAAAAAAATCCTCCATAGAGCCAGCTGTAGGGCATTTTCTTAATTAGCGATTGATGTGGGAGGGCCCAGACCATTGAGGGTGGTGCCATCCTTCGGTGGTCCTGGGTTCTATCAGAGAGCAGGCTGGGCAAGCCATGGGGAACAAGCCAAAAAGCAGCACTCCTCCAAGGTCTCTGCATCAGCTCATCCCTCTAGGTCCTTGCCCTATTTGAGTTCCTGTTCTGACTTTTTTCCAATCATGATGTACAATGAGAAAGTGTAAGCTAAATAAACCCTTTCTTTCCCAGCTTGCTTTTTGGTCATGATATTTCACTGCAGCAATAAAAACACTAAGACAATTCCCCTCAGCATACAAGTTTGTTGTGATAACTTCAAACTCCAGAGAGAGAAAGAAATTTCTATTTGTTTCCACTTCTGCCCTAGCTACACCCTCAGTGCTTCACGCTTTTTAAAGAAAAATCCTTTGAAGAAGCCAGGTTCTTGTCTCTGTTCTTCCCATCTACTTTCCTCTTGAGCCCACACTCATCCTGCTTTTGACATTTTACTCTTCTCAAACAGTCCTTGTGAAAGCCACAGTAGACTGTGTGCTGAGAAAAAGGAGGACAACAGCTATTTGGGAATCATTGCCTACCAGATTGCAGTCCAAGTGGCTGGCACATCTGGGGTGCTTCTTTTAGTGCTTCGGTGTTTGACTTCTCTGGAGGCTTAGGACAATAACTAGTGGGCCAATGCAAGCAAAAACATGTAGATCCTTTTGAGGAACTCAAAATGGCCATGGGTTTGCCATTTGGGATAAGATAATTAGAGAACACCATGGCATTTGACTCCCGTGCTTTCAAAAGAAAATGCTTCCATGGAAGTGACTGAAAAGATGGTGTGAAAAAGAAGATGCCACTCTACAGACCCCTGGAAAAGTAGGAAAGTGTACAAAGCACCTTAAAAAGAAGAGCTTGCAGCCCTGTTAGCACTTCCTAGATAATATTTCATTCTCTGAAGCCATATTTCCCTCTCTGCACCCAGAGTCACCTTGGCCCTTAGTTTCCATTCAGTCTTTCAATAGTTGACTTTCAAACAACACAGGGCTGGCAGTTCTGTAAGTTAGAATGCATAGGTTTGCAGAGACGTAAGTTATAATTTGATGTGGGTAGCTTCATGCTTCATATGTGAAGTTAGAAATACAACATGACATACTTGGGCATATGGACTCAATGAAAGGTGAGGCTTGTACTGCAATAAAAAGAGAAGCATTTCTATTTATCCTCCACAGAAATCTTTGCCAACACACATTTAAAAATGGAAACTGAAGATACAAAGGCAAAATAGGATGACTGCTTAATTTTCTAAAGGGAGTAGTACTTTTGCACAATTTTATGAATCAAATCCTGGGCTTTCCTTTTTTTTTTCCCTTTAAGATATTACCATTGATGTCTGTGTATATGTCCAGGACCCCTGCCAAAACTCAGGGCCACTGTTAACAGCAGCACAGATAGGCAAGGAGCCAGCTACTATTCTCAGTACTAAACCCATAAGGGAATCTAATTCACATATCTTGTGTTTGTGTATCCATGGAAATATTCAGGATAAGAATATATAGTATTTTGTTTTAAAATAGGAAGCGTCACTAATTTCAGTTTTTAACTGCCTATATGATTCTTACTATAGGAACTGAATCGAAGAATTCACCATAAGTTTACTTCCCTCTGTAAATTAAAAGGACTGTTGGAAAGCTAAATTGCTCTTAAATGCATATACATAAGAATCATGACATAAACA